TTTTGAGATGAGCAACCGGATCGGAGCAAACCGATTTCTTTTAATCATGGAGAAATGCGGATTTCCTGTTTTATTCGTGTTATCGGAGTATGTATTGACTCTTTTCTATTGAACACGAAGGCAGGCAATTTGTTTTCTGGAAAATGACAGTGATGATTTGAATTTGGCAAAGCAAACGAGTGTGTGGGATCCGAAGGGAACTTACAAAATGATGCAACAGATCTCATCGCCTAATTAGGCTACTGAGTAACTAACTAAATTAATAAAGAATGAATCAAAGCAACTTGAATGGAGTTTTTACTTTCGAATGAGTTGGAGAGTTTAAATTAGTTAAAGTGCCCAGACATGCTACAATTTTCTTTGAACTCCGATTTCGAGGAACAGTACACATCAGCAAGTTTCGAGAATGGTAGCAAAATTTCTGATCGCATATGGATAAAGTAAAACTAGTTTTATTGGTTTCCCAATGATTAAACGGACTATGTGCTTTTATTTCTGACTTTGAAGTCCTGAACTCAATCTTCATTTGGGTCTATTGATTATCAGTTCAGTTCAGTTTCAGTTACCACCACCTCCAACCTTGATCTTTCGTGATCGGTTCTTGGCTCTCCTCCTTCGATTGCCCATTTGGCAGAACAAGGATTAAGGAGTAAATGAAAGAGCGGAATGCCGGAGCAGTAACGCGATAAATGTACATAATAGATTTTCACTGCTGGTGAAATCCAATGAGGTTGAAAGGGCCGCACAAGGCTCGTTATCTTATTAGCTCAGGTTTTGTTTCGTCTGCATACAACGAAACCCGACATAGAATCGCTTATGCTCATTTTTACCTTTCCTTTGGAGTTGTTCATGAACCGTTGAAAGATATATCAGCCACTGCTTTCAGTTTGACTGAGGGCTTCATCTTAATGGGTTACCGTCCTTTTCAAAAAGGTATTACTACCGCTTATTGGTACAGCTTTCGAAATCAACTATGTGTTGATTTACTTGTTATGTGGCAGATGAAGATTAAAAAAGGAACGAAGGTGACCAATCGGATCGTTACACAGGGATACGTACCGATTTTCCGACCAATTTGAAAAAAGACTAGTGGAGACTGAAACCTTTGAACTGGAAATGTATTTGGTAGCTCAATGGAACTTGGCGTATATGTTTATATATATCACCGACTTGCGGACAAGCATGTTGCCAACGCCACAACCATAATAACAGAAATGTCATAATAATTTGACTCACGTGAATTCCGTCCTACAGAGTAATCCGTCATGACCACATGAAATGATGTTATTCAGGCTGTCACAGAACTCAACCTTCATGATGCCCACATGGTCATATTCGTGTAGAGAAATAGACTGCTTGAGATGGACCTATGTAGGTAAGGGATCAAAGATGAACCTTGTTCCGAACGGATCATTGAGAACAATCAATAATCGATAGATAACTAGTGTCAGTCAAAAGCTTTCACTTGGTATTTATGTTATTTACGTCTGTTGTTGATTCTAAAATGCCATGAAAATTATTTCCTACAAAAGAACAAGAAAACTGCAGTGTCACATTTATGTAGACCTACGTAATTTCGGGGTAAATGAATGGGAGTTGCATAGACAGAATAACTAAATTGTTTTGTTTGATTAATTAGCTGTTGTTTACGGTTCTTCAGCCATCACACGTGAGACTTTAGCCTCATTATCAACTAATTGATTGATTCAAACACATGTATTTTATCGTTTATTTTTACTTCCCGTTTCAAATGCACAATGATAAAATCCTCAGAAAGGGGCAAGCGATCAATCAGAAGGCCATCATACAACACAGCAAACGGGGAAAGTCAGCCGGTAGTGCTGGCAGATAAACTCAGGTAGCCCTGGCAAAATATTGGTAACATCGACACTGAACACAACAAACGCACGTAAGGCAGTATACTGATCCAAACACCAAGGGGTCCTCTGAAGTTCATAGACAAAAAACCCAGGGAAATAACCCGAAAATCGGACTACGGAATCATTTCCACAACATTCCATGCGATCACTTAAAAACAGCAATCGATTCGACGATGGGCCTAAAGCTTTCAAAATCCCAATAGCTCAAACTATGGCCTTTGCTAGTCACGTTGTCCCAATATCATATCAAGATGTCCTCGGATTATTTCAAGTTCTCCGGGAATCATTTCAAGATGTCATCGGATTATTTCAAGCTGTCGCGTTGACCTCACCGGTGCTGACAAGCCTACCAGCGATGTCTGCAGGACTACCATGCAACACCGATTTCTCTACCTCCTGTTGAAGTGCGGTGGACGACTGTGAGACGGGATTCGGTCACACACACCTCAATTCCCATATCGTTTGTTTATTTTGCTAGTACGCGTATGCCTCTGTGTGTCCCTCCGCTAATACCAGTGAATCATGCGCGATCAACGCTTCAGCCATTGCTTACCGCTATCGCACGATGCTCCAATAATATTCATAAGCTACACCTCAAGTGGCTGCACTGGGACACCAATAGATCATGCTCGACCGATATACACATCAGTATTGACCAGATTCACATCCAGTTTGTTCGACATTTCCAGGTCATAATCCATCTCTGTGACAGCACCACAGAAGCACCTTCAAGCACTGAGCAATCAAAATGACCATTTTGGCCATATATCCGGACCGGAATGAGATATCTCTATCAAATCAACTGTAATAGAAATAACGTAACGAGGGCTGTCGAAAGGTGCCATAATTTTCATAAGAGTTACGGAATTTTATAAGAAAATACAAGTTTAAAAATTGGAATGTTTCCAAAATGCACTTTTTTGTGTATGGGCTTTGAATTCGATGATCTTTATCGCTGAAATCATATGGTCTTGCTTAAACACCTCCATCACACAAAGTAAACCGGGTGAATTATGGTTAACGTATGACAGTCACAAGTAGTAAGTACAAACTGTCTTCGAACAATCTTATTGCCATTGTCGCATTTCTCGATTCAGGTTCACAATGGGAACACCGCCGTGGTCGTTCTTAGAATAGTGATTACCGAAGCCACCACCGATCAGAAATTGTGAAAATGTTCGATAAGTTCGTGAGTTAGTGAGGAGATCAGAACACCCCTCGGTTATCATAGCTGAACCACAACGCAGTATTTTAGGGTTCTTGCAGTCAACCCAGGGGAAACGATGGACGAACAGTATCAGTCAATGAATATCGCACATTGGTAAACGAAGGACGAAACAATCTATACCCCTGACGTGATATCCGATGACATCTTGAAATGATTCCAGGAGAACTTGAAATAATCCGAGGACATCTTGATGTGATATTGGGACAACTTTACTGGCAGATGTGTATTTGACGTATGAATTTTACGCTCTTTAATCTGCAAAGCCTATTTTGCTGACTGAAGGAAAATGGAAATTTCTGCTGGAAGGTTACGTGAATTTTTTGGAAAAACGTGATGCCACAATTGATATTTCATGTGTGAAAGTTATTGAAATATTTGGAAATCTCTAAATCCTTGGCTTGAAGCCCTGAGAGGAAACCAAAAGTCCTCAGCTAAGGTGTATAAATTTGAGAAAACCAGAAAGTGGGCATCTATTGCTTTACTGAAGTAGATCTCCAGATAAACCTTCACCGTATCTCTCAGACACCTTGAGAGAAGCTGTATCCAAGCGAGAGCTGTGTCACCTTTTTCATGGATAATAATAAAAAGGTTGACAAGTGAAAGTGGATAGTAAATTGGTCCTTATAAATTCTACATGTCAGTTTTATATTCTGCTGCGTTTATTTTGTTTGTTTTGTTTATCGCATGCAAAACTGTTCTGATTTGTATTCTTGCACATTCAGATTTTTTTGCAGATAGCTTTTAAATTGTTCTTCTTGCTGTAGTTGATTCAGTTATCATTGCTTTTTATTCTTTTCCTCGTGGTAAATGTAAATCGTAGTCCACTCACCAGCTTCGAAATCTGCCGTAAGTGAATCATACCCCTTTATTTCCAAACCACTGATAATATGGATCTGTTCAACGGCATAGTCGACGGCATAACATATCTACCAACATTCACTGCTTATCTACCGATAATTATATTCTAGGTATCTAGTAAAGTTACTTTTCGCCTGTGACTACGATAACCCGATCACTTCCTTTACTCAAATAAAACGTCAACGTTTATAGTTCACCTTTTATTGAAGTGCAATTCTAAGACAGATGTTTGTGGTGAACTTATGGATTCATTGAAGATATATATAGGAAAATTTTCGCTTGAAGTGGAACCAACCATCAGCTCAATAAATACAAATGCAGGACTTGAGAGCATTTGATGAATATTAATAACCCCCGAAGTTCTATGTTCAGGCATTCCACTGAAGAAACTCACCTCGTCCGGTGTGATCTGAATAAGCTCCAGAGTTCCATCACCATAGTAGATCTTCATCAGATTTGAGTCATCCACCTTAGAGAAACGTACTGGACGAATACCTCGCAGTATGTTACAGTTGCCCATGGGATTAAGACAGGAAGATCCCTGACCCTGAAATGAAATATTGGACTACGGATTAACTTCTATTCGATTAGGCTCCCTCATTAGCTTGCAAAGAATGCTTTTTCTGTGCTCACTGAAAAGTTAATTTAGTGTACCTGATGAGAGTGTTAGCACTGTGAAACGAACGATATATTCGTAGAGGTTCTGCATTTATAAGCATAAATGAATAATTTATTTGATGAAAACAGGGTTAGACTGCACAGATTTGAGGTTGATAAATAATTGAGCCTTTTATGCAGGGTATTCAGCCTAACTTCTATGATAACATAAGACCAGCTCACACGTATTTTATACTAATTGTACCTATAAACTGGACTTGCTGTCTTTTTTAATCACTTTTGAGAAAATGGACCATTTAAGATAGTCTGCATAACTGATTTATATATCATACAATGACCCAAGTGAAGTTCGTGAAAAAAGCATTTAAAGATAGTGAACCTACAAAAAAGTAAACACAAATGCGAATAAGATCTGCCAAATTTGGTGACGATAATACGAACAAAAATATACTATAGATGACAGTGAAGTGGGCAATTAGAGATGAACTTACTTGAGTGGGCTCCTGAAAATGTAAACCAAAGGGTATTTCGTTTAAGTGTAAAATTAAAGAAATAAACCGAGTAGCCAGACAGAAAACAACTTGGAATACACGTGCGATAAAACAAAAGCGCACGAAGAAAAATAAACAAACTCCAAAATAAAATAACTAAAACAACAACCTCGATCCCACTATCAGCCGGTTCCGGACCGCTATTGGTTGCAGTGGTTGTTGGGGTCAAACGCATCACTAGACCCACAGTGGTTCGTGATCGTTTGCTAGTTCTTCGAATCATCTGCTGACTTTGCGTTCCAGATTGTTGTTGTGGCTGCTGTTGTTGTGCTTGTGGGATAGATAAATCTGAAGCTGTTGCAGGTCCGAAGCTGCTGCCACCGAACAGCAGTACCGAGTTGCTACTCACAGGGCCCGCATTTGCAGCCGGCGTGGTAAGACGATTCGCACCCATGTTTAAACTACGACCAGACATACATAACTGTGGCGACTATCATGGGAATATGACAATAGTGTATAAACTGATTGAAGCGCGCAATCGTGTTAATAACGGATGGTGAAAGCATCATACTGTAATAAAAAAATATTATTGAAAATGGTTGGTAGTCTTGATGCTGATCCTGGTTCCCAACATACTCCTAAACCCGAATTATGAACCCTGACTTTAAGCCAAACCCCAAACCTTAACTTCGGAATGTATTGCGGAAATACACTTAATCAAGTTAGTAAACACAAATCTTGCATATATCGTATGGTAGAATGCCTTCTTCATCACATATAGCAGCAACATGTACATGTCCCTCAACAGTATAACGATTAACATATATATATATATATATATATATTGTTAAATTATCATATGAATAGGCAAAATGCAATAATGAACGATGATGATAAAAGTGAGCTAAATATTCAGTTATACCTTGTTTTTCAATCAAAAATTATTCAGAAAAACATTTGTACTTTGTTTGAAATTTCTAGGGTTTTACATGCATCTATTCACGCATATCGTAAACAGTCATTATTCCGTCTGCTCTTGTTAAATGCCGATTTGTTGCCATCAAATAACGATCGAGTCTGACGAAATATGAACTTTAGTGACCTACCCTTTTTATGATTTCCTTGGGGAAAACATATGTATGAAGTCTCCGTGCGGCCAGGTCAGTCGCAAACATAAAAGGTGGAGCGCTAGGGTCCGTATCCCACGAAGGCCACAAGCAGGCGGCAATGATAGGACTGGCAACCTGCAGTTGCATCAGTCGGATAACGTCTTCGCGAAAGCCACGACAACTGTCCACATAAGCTTGTGACGTATCTGATGGGTACAACGGAGTTAGTCGGGATGGAAAATCAACGCTCAAAATGAATTTCTATCACAGTCCTCGGCATGAGTCAAAAAAACAGTGAACGATATATCTCCGTAATTCACTTGGATAGACATAGAACTCACTGTATATCACTGAGGGATCCAGTTCGAAAAACCAAATATTTGTGGCTCCCGTTTCTCCACTTTCTCCAGTCGTGACTAACACTAAGGTTTTCTCTTCATCTTTCGCTCGCATTAAGTCGAGATTAAATACTTTTCCGGTAATGTCTGTAAAGAGTAATATTGAGACAGTTATTGGGATGAAATAGACCACAGCCACTTGTGAAATATTTTTAGAATATGAGCCAACGGTCACAAAATAATATTAAAAATAATTTGCTTCGCATTATGCTAACAGATGTTCTTAAAGATATCAACAACTAGAAATCTTCAACTCAGGAAAACTCAAAGTTCACCCTCACCGAGTTACACTGCTCCGATAAGTTAATTTTGTTTTGCTATTCATGGTGAGGATCTTCGGTGACTAATCCGGCTAAACTAACCAGAAGCGCTGATCTACATTATATAGAAAAAGTCTTCTGATCTCCTAAGAAATATCAAACATTTTCACAATTTGCGATTGGTACTGACTTCGGTTATCACTATTTTAAGAACGACCACGTTGGTGTTCCCATTGGGAAACTTAATCGAGAAAAGGGATTGCCCCCATAATTTATGCGTGTCATCCGGTATTCGGTTAGAATTATTTCGCCATAGGTATGTTCGATGCCGGTTTGCATTTGTTAATTGTGAATGTCATGCGTTCACCTTAATTCACCTGTTTAATTTCTCTTAAGGAACTGCGTCAGTAGAACTATAGCTTTTGCAATTCAAGTTGTCCAAATACCATATCAAGATGTCCGGGTATAACTTCACGATGTCCTGGAATAATTTCACGTTGACTGAATGTCATCGGATTATTTCAAGCTGTCGCGTTGACCTCACCGGTGCTGACAAGCCTACCAGCGATGTCTGCAGGACTACCATGCA